CTATGCCTTTTTAAGTTCATCCACAACATTCGCAATTTTGCACTCAAGGTCTTTGCGAGCTATCTCCTTTTCTTTTGCAGTTCTCCTCAAACTATTTGACTTTGTAATCCACACAAGTTTCCCAGTGTCCTCTGCTTTCTGTGCAAACTCGTCTGCCGATTTAACAAGATTGTCAACATCACTGTCTAAACGCCTTCTTTTCTTTTTAAGTTCGTCAAGTTCATCGACTAGCTCCTTTCGCTTCAGTTCTACACCCTCAGAGGTTTTCTTCCTCTTTTGTTCATCAAGATATGATAAATACTTCTGCCTAGCTCCTGCAGCTGACAAAAGAAGTGGTTTGTTGATTGAAACAGCAAGGACACCTCCCACAGATTGTACATGGTCTTGTACCAGCCTTTGAGCAATGAAGGAGCGCTCTTGGAGGTTCTCGACTTCCAGTTGCTTATTGACTGAGAATCCTCTTTCGACACTGGCCTGGCCATGTGATAATATCAGTAGCTCTGAGACTACTTTCCACAATGATTGGTAGGATCGCTTCTGTCCCATGTGAAGATACAGAAAGGAATCAAGTCTATCATTGTTAGGATCATAGTCTTTGAACTCCGACGGAGAAGAAGAGGGGACTTCCATAATGAATTGTCTAAATAGTTCCAAAAGGGAATCACATTCACCTTCCGGGACTTTCTTGGCATTTTCAAGGGTAGTCAAAACTCTCTTGAATTTTGTGATGGAAACATCATGGTCACTCATCATGTTTCTTGGATCTAAGCAATTTATATTCCTTACAAGGGAATACTGAATTGGTGCTTTGGCAATCAGTTTGCAAACTACTTTCATAAGGAACTCCTTGCATTCCATCTGAAACTGAAGCACTCTTTTCTCCGAAACTGTGGACTTTGCAATCGACTCCTTGATCTTCTTGTCAGCTGTAAACCCCAGGTCAATCTTGGAATGAGAGGCATGAATGCTGGAGTCAGCAGGGTCAAGTTTTGTAAGCTTCAATGGGGTTTTGGCTTCACTGATAACAGTGGTCTTAATAAATCTTCTCATTAATCCCCCAAGCATGCTGTACAGGTCTGTAGCCAGGAAAGGAAGCATAGGCTTGTCGGTTTGATAGAGTGTCAAAAACGGTGTCACTTGCTTGGCTACTGATAGGAAGAAAGCGACTTTTGCAGTCGTAAAGGGATCTGCAACAAACTCTTGTACAGTTTCAAAGGATTTATTCTGTGGCTGTGGAACTTTTCCTGCCCTTGCACTCTGAACATACTTGACAACACTGTCCCACATACTCTGTGTACGTTCTGCAACCAAGACATTCTCCAACCACCTATGTTTGCAGAACTTCAAAGCAAACAGTGAGTTTCCTGTTACTTTGGTGTAGTCCTCTCTCCTTGCCGGACTGTCCTGAAAAAGCCAGTGAAGGCTGGAGAACAACCTGTCTAACTGCCATCCTGATGCCACAGCACCATCCTTGAATGCTCCATGAAGAATGTGTAAACCACAGCTGCCAATGTTCAGCATGTGACTATTATGCTCCCTTTTTGCCTCATCAGTCAGCATACTGTAAAATTTCCAATTAACGTTGGGTCCATCCATTGACAACTAGTATGAGAGAAAACATTCCTTGTAATATTGAAAGGGAAACAGATTATTTAATTTAGTACTTGCATTACGTCCCAGAGTTCGTGTCATTGTCCACCTAGACACGAAGTGAACTAGTCATGGATGCATTGGAATTGTGAAGATTTGCAATGAAAGAGTGTTGATTTATTTAGACCTTAAAGGGCAGAAAACCAAGTAAGGTGTTTCATTTCTATTTAATACAATTTTATCGCTTTTTGGAACATTGGCTAGATTGTGAACGCACAATTTATATTACATGCAATAAATTAGATTAAGTAATCTTGCATCTTTCGCCCTTCTACAGCAAAATAATAACAGACATTGAAAGATTTTCATGTTAAAAAAAATGTAACGCAACTTCTTGTAATTATCGTTCGCCGGCGAACGATGAAATTAAATGCCAGTCATGAAAACAATATAATTGATTCCAATTTGATCACACCTTTTTAATAATGGCAAGACATAGGTCTTTCAAAAGAGTGGCAATATGACAAAGAATAATTGAAATTAGGTAATTGTTTGAAGACTAAGTTTGTGCTATTGCCTATTTCGAAATGTCGATAATTGAGGGTAAGAAATAATACAACTTCAAAGAAGCATATCTTGCAAACAATTTCATGGATTACCCAAACATAACGAGAGTTGCATCCTACCTGATAAACTTTTTTGAGAGGAATTCCTTCTATGCCTGAACGAAAATGAGAAAGCATGTCCTCTGCTGTTCCATGCCCCATAAACACTGAGGTATAATAGCGACTTTCAACTTCGTGTTTGTCATGATTCCATGAACGAATGTGAATATCCATTTGCTTTGACTGGCACACGCTATTCAGGCTCTCGTCAAACATAAGTACATAAGCTTCTTCTTTTTTCACAACGTCCTTCAAAAGTTGTTTGAAGTGTGGAGCGAGCCCAAAACAGATCAAGTATGCACATTTCTTTTCTCCGCATGTAAACTGACTCGCGATCCGACTGTCAGGAAACATCGCTTGAAACAATTTGCTCGTACCTTCGCATGATTTATAGGAGTAATGAGACATTATCACCTTCAATGCCCACAAAATTTCTGCTTTCAAAGTCTCATCACGAGTGACAATTCTTTCCATCACCGATGAACCAGATGAACTCGTAGTACTAGACTTTGTGGGGTTGAGCGTGTTGTGTTCGCCACTTTCAGACGAAGCGGATTTTGAAACTTCTTTGGCATCGTCACTTGTAGTTGCTGGTTGTTGAGAAGAAACGCCAAAAAAATCTGAAACGCTTGCTAATGACCTATTCTGGGATGTCAGTGTTTGATGTTTTTTTCCTTTCAAGTGACTTGTGAGCGCTGACTCTCCCATGCTCGAAATGTCAACATCCTTCATACACACGATGCATCGTGCCTTGTGCTTGTCACCCTTGACTTCTCGAAGCCAATCTTTATACAGTGATTTCTGAAGCCACAAGTTGCTGAAAACACACTTGCCCATTGTTTTAAATCTCTCACTCGTGAAACAAAACGCAAACAATCAACACTAACCCAGACAAGGAAAGCACTCAAAGCACATGGCTTTTCTCAGAAAGAGGGAATAGTACAAAACATTTGATTGGCCCTTGACATTCGAGACATTCAACCAATCAGAGTGATTAATAGAACCAAGAACAGGACAAATGGATATGGGCGATTGATCGACATGCGAAGTGGCGTTACGATCGTTTGTTATTTGTATCTTACTATTATGTGTTGCTACGTTTGTGCCAGTTGCATATATTTTCAGATAAGGCACTCTAGAATCTAAGTTGGATTAAATTAGCTACAAATTTCAAGGACTTTCCAGCACTGACTACAATTATCAAGGACTTTCAAGGCCTTGAATTTTTATTTTGAGATTCAAGGACTTTCAAGGACTTTCAAGGACTTTCAAGGCGCGTGCGAACCCTGTAAGTACAAAGATGGCTTTATGTCATGAACCTCAGAAAACCCATATTTTTTATGCCAAGCTATTATAAAATTGCAACTGTTCCTTGATTACAACATTTTTGTTTGTATTATCACCATGGATACATCTGTCAACAACCATGTAACTAAAAATCACTAATAATTTTAGGTTCACAACACAGAACTATACTCAAGCAAACCTCCCTGAAAATTTCATCCCTTTTGGTTTAATACTTTTCAAGAAATCCTTTTTGCCGTGACGGGCACTCTCTCAAAATTGCAAAACTGAGAAAATCAAGTTTAAAGATTTAAGTTGATCAATCAAAATAATCACTAAAGCAACTGGTGCCTTTTGGAAAGTTTAAGCTAAGCTCTTTGATGTTCTCATTAAAATGCACCAGGTGCATATATGTCACCCTCCTTTTCCTGGGATTTGTCATTTTTTTTCTTTCTTTTTCCCCTGAGTAGCCTCCTCCTTGTCTTGTTCTTCTCTTGGAACTTGTATTCAGCTTTCAAAACACGAATCTTGTCCAACTGCTGGCATTCATTTATACAGAATTCACCTGGGGGAATTCCAAGACTCTCAAACACTTTAATAGCTGCTCTTGAACCAATATTAAAGTGAGCGACAGCATCATAAACCCCCAGCTGCAGTACTTCAGAACCAACAAACACCCCCTTTGGCACACGCTCCCAAACCATACCATTGAGTGACTCATTCTGGTTTTGAGTCTTGCCATCAAGACATTTGCTGAGAAGGCTGTCCTCACTCAACCTTTTATAAATGGGTTTGATTTCCTCTCTGACATCTAAAGGTAGGCCAGTTCCATGTTTGAAAGTGTTTGTCCTATTGACCTTGTCCCGCTGAAAACCACACCAGCTTTCAGGACCCTCAGGGCAATGCCCATGGTAATTACTGTCTGCAGAAGAAGCACAGTGAAACAAGCTGGCATAAATTGCCTTCTTCATGGCAGCAAGATCACCTGAGTTGCTTCGAATGGCAATTCCATAATAATTTTGCAGTCTGTCAATCATGGCATCTGTCAGCCTGCCTTTCCCACCCATCCCTTTCTTTTCCTTCTTTAACTTTCGTAAAGCTGTTCCCAGTCGTTTTTGAACATGGCCAACACATTCCTTCTTTTGAACTTCAATATCATAGACTTGGTATACATCTTTGACTAATGAGTAACTTTTGCTGTCACCATCGCCATAATATTCATCATACTGCAGCTTATGCAGATCTACTGACCTTTGAAACATTCGAAGGGCGCCTTCTGGTTCCATAGCTGGTGCTGAACCCTTAAAGTTTGCCTTGCAAGAGGCTCTGTGGTCTGCTCTCCATGCAGTAGTTTCTGGGGTGTCAGGATCATTTTCATGCTCCCTGCACTTGATACAAACTTTGCTTAGGGGCTCAACATCTACCACTTTCCCTGTATCCATGCTAATAGCACTCACACAGCCATTTAAAGAAGAAAAGCCTCTTCTCTGCCATGTTCCATCAACAGACACTCCACATCTTGCTATGCCCTCATCTGAACCTGGCTTGATATCGTGAATCTCTCTTGCAGTATCACGCATTGTCTCCAGTGAGATCTTCTTTACTGCTCGGAGTATTTCTTTATTATGGCGAGCATATGGTGTAGGTCTAGGAGGTGGCGGCATGTTCATAAGTCCACAAAACCTCTTACCTGCCGCACGTCCACAACCAACAGATCTTGAAGCATACACAAATCTTCTGTTTACTTCAAAGAAACGGCCTATTTGAGCTGAAGTAAAGAATTCCATAGACCAACCACACGAGCAGCAAAGCAAACGAAGATTCGAGGCACAACCTTTGCGTTTCATAGCTTGCTCTTGTAAAATTAAATCACAAACAAAGCATTCTTTGCATGGCATACATTCCATCACAGAAGACAAAATTCTCATATCTACAAACCGAAATCCACTTATGATTGACTCCTTACACTCCTTGATACCCTCAGAAGATGCGGTGGTCAGACCTGCTGGAATCTTGCGGGCAGAAGCTGAACATTCTTTCCCAAGACCTTTGGTGCTGACACTCGTTTTTTCCTTCTTCGAACGCTTCGATTCAGTAGAGTACTGGTTTCCACGATATTTACGCTTTTTTGTGTAACCAGAACGAGCCTTTGGTGGCATTGATAAATAAATTATCAAGCAAAATCGCAATAGGAATAGAGTGAACGAATACGACCAAAATGGTGGATGATAAGTTGGGAAATAGTGTCGCCACATATCATCCGCCATTTTGGGTGCTCGTAACTCACTGCATGTATGCCTGAATATAGCTATCGCTAAGTGCCAACGAGCAACCAATGAAAAGAAATACTCATTGGTAATGTTAAAAAATGGAGTCATGTTTTGTGGGTGTAAATTTTAGTAGTGAAGTATTCCAACCAACGTGAAATGTTTTAAATTTTGAGGTGAATATGGTGAAAACGAAAATAAGTTTCTTGATTTTACATTATTGCAATACAAAAGTTTGTGCTGCAATGATAGCCAAGTGTGTTTTCTTCCCTTTCTAAAAATTATGTGTAAAACTGAATAATATAAGGTAATACAGAACAAAAATGAACCCACAATAACAACTCTTAATTGTATATGAACTGTAACAAAATATTTCTGAATCACTAAATAAATTTTTTCTTCACAGTCATTCAACTGGGATAGCACAACTATTAAGTTTGGGATGCATGGGCCAGTCTGAGATAACACATGCTACATCAGTATTAAACAATAATTTTAATTTTCCAACATCGTTCGAGACAGTCACACAATGTTATTGGACTGTTCACACAGAATGAACTAATCAGAGTTTACTTCTGGACGTTTAAAGGAAAGAACTTTGTATTGTTCATTGTTTGGACATTGTTGACCAAACAAATATTTTCTTCGAGACAATATAAGATAAACTTCAACGTCATTAATTTTATCCTTAATTAAGGGATGTATAGAGCGAAATCTCTAACACATGAATCTAAACTGTAACAAAATATTTTTCATTCACTGCTATAACGTTCCTCAAAGTCAAACACCTGGGAAAGCAGATGCACATCTTTTAGCTTTGGGATGCATGGGCCAGTCCGAGACTACACATGTTACATCAGTATTAAACAACAATTTTAACTTTCCAACGTCCTCCGAGACAATCACACAAGGGTATTGGACTGTTCACAGACAATGTGCTAATCAGAGTGTACTTCTGGACGTTTAAAGGAGAGAATCTTTGTAATGTTTGTTGTTTGGACATTGTATACCAAACAAATGTCTTCCAGAGACATAAGATAAACTTCAATGTCATCGATTTTATCCTTTAGGGATAAGGTTGATCCTGCCAGCAGGGTTTCTAGTTGCTCAGTGAAAGCCTGGATCCACATCTCTTTGCTGTTGTCACCTTCTGATTCAGTGATAGAAATTTTTGCTGAAGCCTGCAGTTTGATATCTCTTGATCTTTGACGTGTACCACAGTTTTCACACTTCAGTGTGGTGCAAGTGAATGATTCAACATCATTTAAGCGTTTTTTGCACACTTTGCAGGAACAAAAGATGTTTAGCTTTGACACCAAATTGAATTCTGAAGCAGTTACTTCCTTTTCTGGACTTTTGAGCATATCTGGTCCAGTCAGGGTTTGCACTGTTTGTGTTGTAAGGTTTGCTGTTGTGTTTGGCGATGTACTTAGATACGTCGACCCTTGGAAATTCTTTACTGTCAGGTTGGTGAAGCAGTATGATTTACCCGTTGTCAAGGTATGGACAAGGGGTTCCCAAATGTGAATCATTGATGACCCAGTGTTGTCCTCCAACACGCAATCTTCCTTCACATGGGCTGTTGCTCCAGTGGATCTGAGAACAACAGCCTTGAGGTCTTCTTTTCCCATAGTGAGGGAACCACTGACATTGACTTTTTGGTTTGGGTGCAAACCTTTTACATTCGACACAGTAACTGACTTTGCAGCACTTGATTCACCTGCACTTTCAAGCTTTGGCTGCTCGGTGTAACAAAATGATACATCTGACAAGCCTGCTTTATGTACGGCAGATTGTTGATTGAAAATACATTCATTGTCGTCTTTTACAATAATGTTCTTGAGCTGTACTGGGCTCTTGGTTTCCTCAAAATGTTTTAAGGAATCATGGACATAGAGATTAAATCCTACCAAACGTTTCACTTTAGTGGGTGAAGTTTGAAGCTGAAATTCATACCACTGATGCTTTGACTTAAGGGACTTCTTAATTGGACTGAGGTTGTGAATAAACCCATGGTCGTTTGCTGCAAGTAAACAATTAAGATGGTTAGAATATGCATAAGAGAATTATGTTTGATTGGCATGGTAATGTCAAATAATTTTGGGGGTTGGATATTTCAAGAAAATGACACATTGCAGGTAAAGCTTGAAATATAAAGGAGTCAGCATGTACTCATTATTATGAGTGAACAACAATAACCAAGAACAAAATTGCCTCTACCTTTCACAGATACAGTAGTCAGGTGCTAGGGGCTGAGTTGCTGCAAAATAACAGGGACACCAGTTG